ATCTAACTTCTCCCTACCATATTCATACATAATCCAGCAAAAAGGTAATGAGAATACTCAAACTTATTGGGTTAAAGGTATTATCTTGATCTAACACCAAATTCTTCCATTTTCCATAGAATAATCTCTACATATCAGATGCAGCTATTACAACTTACATTTTAAGCTGGCCTCCCAATAGAGAGATCCATCCAAGATCATAAATAGGAACCAGCTGGGTGGTGGGGTGGGGGAGATGGTAATTTGCAAATAAGTATATTATTAATATTGACTCTCTGACCCCTTAGAGTGACAAGCATCTAATTGCCCCTTAAAATATCAGAGCCAAATCACAAATTAAGGTCATGAGAGTAAAAGAAATGATCACCCACTGAAGAAACTCTTGATTGTTGTATGGATTTAACAAATAGATTCCAAGTTGCTATGTGTCTGTTCAGTAATAGATCACACATGACGTCAAAATGCAGTAAGAACATAAAAGTGGCACACGAGCCACAGCCAAGTGTGTCACTGATGTTCTTACCACATTTTGACGTCCTCTGTGATCTATTACTGAACAGATGCACGGCAACTTGGAATCCATTTGTTTTATATAATAAAGAATTTAAAAAAATTTTAATGATGACATCATCTATATGTCTGTCCTCCAATAGATCATAAGTGAGGACCAATCAGAATGCGTGCATAACTGAGCTTATTATATAAAACTGTATGGAAAATATACTTTCTAATGTTAGGGTGTAAGGGATAGATAGATTTAGAAAAGTACCTACACTGAAATTTGCTGCTGAACGTAGCTTCTTTGTTTGCCTGAAGGCATCACCGGCAGGAAAGGAAGTCCATGAAGAATTAAAATAAAATTTCCATCCAGCAATTTTGAGTCTTCTGCAGAAACCATTTGGCTTCAGTCTTGCTTCTCCCTTCACTTGAAGGTTAAGAACCTTTAACTGCTGTGATTGGTCAATGTAGAAGTCACAAATACTTCCTGGACAATGACAGTTCAAAAAGAAACAAAAAAAAAACAGGATATTTTTCAAAACTCTATCTTTACCAGCCACTTTCCTCAATTCATTTATTTGAAGCAGAAAAAAAGACTTCACAATAAGTTATTTTTGTCTTCTTAGCACTTATTTGATAGTAGACCACAAGATTTTCAATATCCCTCTTTCCTGAGCCTTTCCTCTTTCTAATGACCAGCAAAGCTCTCTTAATTAGCCATGACACTGATCACAACTAACTTTTGGTCTCCAGAAATAGTTTCTGAAGCTGACATTTTGAGCATCAGCTCTTCATCTTAAGTTAAATGCTCTGATGATGGGCTAATACTCAAAACTACAGCCACAGAAACTCTTTATGGCGGCAAATTTACATTATCAAAACAGATGATGAAACAAAATAATCTTATAGTATGCCTCATTAATTTCTTTAGAAAGCTAGCCCCCTCACACAACTTAATTCTAGAAGAACAATATCTCAATTCTGTTTCTTATTTGATACAATGCACAGGAAATAATACTTTCACCTTGGTTTTCGCTCTTAAAAGTAAACAATAAATGGGTGCTTATCTTGACAATTAATATCATTTGTAAGTACTCATCTAGAAACACAAAAATATATTGTTTCAAAATTGAATAAAAAATCTTACCGTCTCTTGAATCTGCCAAAATATCTCTGTCTTCTGTACAGTTCATCGTCCCCGTGTGTGCTGTGTAAAACGTACGCTTCTTTTTGTCGTTGCAAGAACAAGAACAACGATTAGCTGATACATTATTCACCTGGATAGCGCCATATTGTTGACAGCTTGAGCACCCGTTCGATTCTAATTCAATCTCAAATGAGTCTCCTATCGCACCAGAACGTGTCACACTTAAAACCCGTGCCATCGAAACATTTACTTTGACAACAGCAACAGAGAAGAAACACCAGCATTTGAAGATCAGAACAAGTTGATATTTCCATAACCGTCCCATATTGAAACTTGATCAAAGAAGAATCGTAAATACTCCGAAGACCTTTGTGTTTGGAAGTTATTATAAAACTTTTGTTAATTCTATTTGAATTCGAATCATTTCTACCGGAAGCCCGCTGATATCCTCCTGCCTTACGCCCAAACCGCGAGGCCACTTTCACTATCTCATCTGATACCCACTCCGCCATTTTGTTTCAAGAATATCACTCAATTACAACAAAACCCACGGGGCTTATGACGCATTTCCTACTTAGTAAGGGATGCTTGTGTTATTTTTGGCATCTCTCATTTATCATTAGTAAACCCAAGAATCGCAAATTTGCGTAAGTAGTTCTGATCAAACGAGAGTGTCTGAATCTCTGTAGAATGAATGGACAAAGATTTAAAATGACATGTGGATGGTTGATCCTTCATGTACTGAAGCATTTTCAGTCAAATGAAAACACACGTATGATATATCAATTTCCTGCTTGGCCCATTCAAGGATAGACGCCATAGCGACTCTGTCGACACTTTTAAGTTCAGAAAAGGTCAAAAGGATAAAATTTAATCCGTCATGCTGCCATTATTGTATTATTTTTCCGCTCAGCGTCTGGAAACCGACTGACTACTCCCATAAGCAAGTAGGTGCTAGTTCCGCGTTCACAAAAGATGGAAAAAATGTTAAGTGAGAAGCAATAAATTAAATTTTTTCCGTGAAAGAGTCGTAACTATGGAAATGATTATGACAACACAAAGAGGCGACAGCTTCAGTTCACCTCACTGTTTTTCTTTCTTAGTCATGCCACTAATTTAATTTTTCAGTAAAATACGGGTTTTTTTTCCTGTGTTTACCTGTTTTTCACTGGAAAAAAGTAGATTGACTGAAAAACTACTTAACGATAGAATCTTTAAAATTGCATCCGTAATCAACTCCAAATATGCAGTAAAAAGCACTTCCCATTTTATCACAGTTAACTTAGAAATGTAGTTATCACTTTTGCTGTCGCTAATTAATCCTTTGTATAGTAACACTTTCACGTAAACATCATACATTTTGCAGACTCGCCATCATCTGTGACCCTATACAGAAGTTTGTAACGACGCCACAGCTCTGAGTATATTGGAATTACGGCGCTGTTTGATAGGAAACCCTCCAGCGAAAGGTAAGTAAGTCCTTTAAAAGATCATAACAATTTATCATTTTAGAAGAAGTGCTTCAAAGACAACAGTTGCTTATACAAAGTTCTATCCCTCTTATGTGATAAATCGAAATTTAAATCGCACTGTTTGAACAGGAACCAGCCATATTCTGTAACTAGCGGTTTCTTATTCATTTATTTATTTACTTTTAAGATTAGCCAGTCACAAAAATCCAGTTGCATTCTTTATTAGTTGCTCATTTTCATTTGCTCCATTTCTAGTAATAGAAACATTTCCCTTCCCAACAAACGCTTGGGCTGTCTCTCATCTATGTGCTAATTTTTGAATTCATTCTTTCAGGCTAATGGCCATAACCTAGGGGGCTAGTTGCTGGTGCAGCACGTTACGGGTGGGGAAGTTCTGGTTTGAACCTCGGGTCGGGGAGTACTTCTTAGTGGGCTAGTGGGGATTTGCCGCTTTGCATTTTTACGACTGGATTTACATGACTATAATGGGGTTGAATGTTCAATAGAGTTAGTGGAATGGGGTCTCGCATTTTGGGGATTTTGGAAGTAATAAAATTTTAGTTAGTAGGGACTCAAAAATGGGAAGATTCACGATTAAAAGTTGTATTGCTAAGAGTAACTAAGATGGGGTCTATATTTGACAACAGAATAGACTATAATGGGGTAGGGGTTCACTCGGCCAGCGGCACACACATAATAAAAAATTGACACAAGTAACCCCTGGGGGTTTGACCCCGGCCGGGTAAGCAGCATTATTAAGCTCGTGTGTAAAGCTTCTATCATAATCCCTTTCGTCATCCTGGATGCCAGTCAACTGTCAGGAGCAATCTCTTACATCTAACAATCCTTTTCAGAAACAGCTGATTCCCAGATGAAATTTCCTCTGCCATTAGCTGTGATTTTGGCTTGTTCCGTGTTTTTTGTCTACATCATATGTAATACAACTGAGGAAAAATCTTTCATCTTTTCGAATATATTTCAAAGAAGGAAATGTTTCCGTCAAAACAATGAATCTACCTATTCCCAAAGGCATCATCATGAAACTGGTAAGTGAACAGACAGTGACAGATGTTTTCCATTTGAAAAATGAATGAAGGGGGTAAGTATCCGCAGAAACTGTGTTGCTACGTCGGTGTGGGGCATTAAAAAATTATTTGGTTTTGTCAACTGAGTCGATGATGTTGAACTTAATAAAATCTTTACAGTGGCTCATTAACATATTTAACTCAGTTGATAAAACCAAATTATCCTATATCTATCCAAGTTTATATATATATATATATATATATATATATATATATATATATACATATATATATATATATGAAAGTTATTTGTAAGAGACGCAGTGGCATAGTGAATTACGCGCTGAACTCCAGAGAACTGGAGATCCGTGTGGAAGCTCTTGCAATGTCTCTGAGTTGTGCTCTTGGGCGAGGCACTTTCTTTTCAGTGCCCCTCTTCAAGTCTACATGGGGGCCACAAAACTGTTAGGGAAGCCTTCATTTTATGGTCACTTGCTTCGTTACACACCGTTTATCGCATTTATGGATAACTTATTAGAGATGACATAAACAGCAAGTATAAAATAAGAAATGATACCAGCAGCGAGCGTCGCTAAGCTAAGTCACTTTAAATACAACTATTCGCGATAAAAGTTGTAAAATCAAATAACAATTTTTGCAGAGACGCATGGTCGCATATATATGCACGATAGCGACAAAAATTCTCAAATGTCACCTTAAATCAACGAAGACAGAACGCCCTTCACCTTTTGTGCCTGATCGATATTTACCATTTCGGTTTGAAATGAGCTGAAGGAATGGGGACAAGTTTTCCTAGCAGCCGCTCGCCAACCGCGAAAACGGCGGGAAATGCTTAAAATACTCAAGATGGCGAACAAGTACTTCTCTATCTCTTTGAGACGTTTCCACCCTTTTTAAGACGGACTTTTTGCTCTTCTTTCGTACAGGTAAGCAATGCCATTTATTTTAATTTTATATCTTAAGCCAACTTGGTTACCGTTGGTTACAGAAGACCATTTTCCCTGAAGAAGATTAGCTCGAGTCGATCGACAAGTTTTATCACGAATCTTTAAAATTTGCAGTGTGAAAGAAAACATCGCACAGTTCACACTGCATGTTTATTGTGCCATTCCTCTTCTCGTTCTTGCATCATTTATATAGTTTTGTGGTGAAGTTTGGTGTTTAAAGGAAGAAAACTGACAGAAAAGACTTTCTGTACCGACATTTGTCAGCAGCGCAGCACTGTTTGGTAATAGCCAAATAAGAGAAACATCCGGAAAGATTTCTGAAAACAGTTCCAAAACAAAGCCTTTCTCCCAAAGATAATTGATGGTTTCCGTCATTTCGTTTTCTATTCTGAAACAAATGTAATTAGCATGATGAAGAATAGGGCCATACAGAAATCTTGCTGTAGAACAAGTTTCCCATGGTAACTGTCAAACCGCTGACGTAATTGCTGGGATTTATATCTATCTAGCTTTATCAAATGCTGGCTCATTGATTAACTTGTAAAATTTGCGGGATTAAATCAAATAATAATTATCGGGTCCATATTTCAAAAGTTGTGATTCTACTTAACCTGACAGAGTACTGTTTATTTAACGTGTAAGAACAAAGTCAACGAGTTCAGGAACAATATCCTCCATTTGGTGTAAAAATATGCATGGAGACATTATCTCTCCTCTCCAAGGAGCTCAAGGAAAAATGTGAGCTTTAACAAACAGATGATGTCCAAGGACAAATAAACAAGCATATTTTTGCACAAAATAGAGGCTATTGTGTATATTATCCTTCAAATATTTTGGAATGTTTCCAAAAAAGTTTTCACAAACATCTTTCTGGGATTTTTTCTTTTGTGTTCTCTGGTAGGACTTTATGAAGAAAGAAATATTTTCCTTCATCCAAAACAATAATCTTGAATTAAATTTTCAAATGAAGACTCCTCATTGTGGACATAAGGTTTGAAAATTGGGGAATTTCACTTGACTGATATCCTTGGATATCCCTTAGTTTTTGGTGTGGAATATTAGATCACTTAGTGTGTTTAGACCAATGTGTGTGTGAGCAAAAATATTTGATGGATGGTAATTGACAGTTATTCCATGAGTGTGTGGTGGATATGGGATGGTAAATAGCAAATGAGGTGCATAGTATGGAGTTGGCTATAACCAGTCTTACATCCAACAAGCAGGAATGGTCAATACCTGTTTTAGTCAATTAAATTATCCACAATGCAAGGTAGAAGTGTTTCAGTTGTCTCCAGCCAAAATTAAATCAAGCTTTGCATAAATTGGGTAAATCATATTTCCATGAGAGATGATTCGGTATATAAATTGGGTAAATTACATTCAATGTAAGGTGATTGGGTATATGAGCTGATAACCAGGGGTGAGTGATGCAATCAGAATACTAGAAATGCAATATCTGGCGTTTTACATTTAATAAAACACAATAAACTAATAATGGCATGTCCTGCTGAAACATGTCTTTTTAAAAAAAGTTTTCTGGTGAATATGAAATAATTTATTTTGATTATATTGTTATCACAATGTTATGGAAGCATCATACAGGTCTATATTATTTTGAACATGTTTACCCACCAGCATGAGGTGTCATATTTTCTGGATCAAATGCTAGGACCCTGATGAAAATTTTCCTTGTAATGTAAAACTGAGTTCAGAAGGTGTTTTAAATCTAGAATATGAGTTACAAGGAAGGGTGAAAGAGCCTTTGGGGTCAGCTGAGTAATCTTGCACAAAGTATTTTCAAATGAGGTAGTTTTTAAGGACTTAAGGCATGTATTTTAAGGCATAATTAGACCAGCCTAGAAAACAAGAGAATAAAGAACAGATCTAAGAAAGAAACCATTAACACATAAAACAAGAAAGGGAAATGATGTCAATAATGGATGAGATAATGACTTACAAAGTGATTCCGTCAGATGTGTTGTATAAAATAAATAAAGTTTTCTTTTATTCATTGTAGATGGATGTGATGAAGAGAGAACAATGACATGCTCAAATATCTGCATCAAGAAATGTACAATCCACGTTATATGAGAAAGTAGGTCAATAAAAGACTGGTTTGTCCTTAGAATACAAGTCAGCTATGTTGCAAGTAAAGGTATGAATTTAGAAATGTATGCTATAATTCAAATCCTGCTATGAATTTCCATAGTGTAGATATTGAAACAGTAGTTCAATTTTTACTCTTCTTGTTAAATGTACTGTACTTAAGCACACATGATATAGCTTACTGAACATTCTTCAGATTCAAACTATTGTAATGTTCTAGTATAGAGAATCCTCTCCTTAAAGTTGAAATAAAATGTTAATATGTGCTGTACTAGGTAAGACCTAAGGGCTGCAGTGACCTCTAAAGGTCACATGGGGGTTTTTACGAGTGGTTAATTTAGGTACATTAAGAACATCATTTGCGCATGTATGTATATGTATTTATAGGCTCATTCTGCCAGATCTCATTCTGGTTTCCCTAATGAAGCAACTAGAATTAAGTGTTAATGCCCTCCCCCCCCCAATGGGATTTCAGTCACTGAGTTACCTCCACTATTACTTTAGGCTTCCATGATAATTTGCTGGTACCCATTTATACTCTTGGTTGGAGAAAGACACTGTGAAAGTAAAGTGTTCTGCCCAAGAACATAACACAGGGGAGAGGGAACCCAGACCAGGTCTTGAAAAAGAACCTCTTGACCTGGAGTCTAGCACACTAACCATTAGGCCAAAGCATCTCCCACTTTTTAGGTTTGTGTGTATTGGTAGAGATCCTTAAAGACCCCTAGAAACTGTAAACCCTGAAAAAATCATAAAAGAACCTGTCACCCTAAATTTATCGAGTGGAATGAACCTTCTGATGATCCTTTTTTAGTTCTAAACTAGACATTGAGATACTAAACCTACCCCGTCCTTTCCATACTCACTATTTTCTAGCTGGCAACTGATATTTCTATCAAAGCTCAGCTTTAATTCATGAGTGAGAAATCAGTAGGTAAAATTGAAGCAGAGGCTGTCAAAGAAATCATAATTTTCAAAGCAATCATTTATAACCTACTCTACTTCGTGCAATAGCACTTGCCTATAGCCTGTATTATTTTTATAAAATTACCCAGACAAAGTCATAGAATGAATGATGTTGAATCACAGTTGAGATTATTGGCCCACCTTGTCTAATATAACATTGAATTTAGACAAAATTTCATACACCTACTGCAGAAAATCGCTTGGTGAACATTGCAGTCTAAAGAATGAAACTGGGATGACCTTTGGTCCTCATTATTAACCATCAAGATCATATAAAGCTTATCTTATTTTCCTCTATTCGAACAGCATCATGAATGTCACAAACCGTGAAAAATACTTTATGAAGTACCTATTGAGCTGTAACAGCCACTGCACATTATGAAGTAAAATACATGACTACCTGAATATGTACTTTGTTCAAGTATACATTTTACATATTTACTAAGGTAGCACACTATATATGTGTATTGTCACATATGTTTTGTAGACATCAGTATCATAAATAAGAAATGCATGTATTGTAATGAAGGCTTGAAGGCTTGGCTGTCAGTGCATTTTAAGATAGGGTGAGATGAAAGATTTCATATGAGAGCCAAGTCTGATGGCAGTTACAAACCACTAATTGAGAAAATTATCCTTTACAGCTAAATCTCCGGTAACTTGATTATCAAAATCCACACACGGAAATTATCATCAATCGCATGTACTTAGTAAAAACTTTGTCAAGCTAAGTGTATAACGGATTTATGAACAACAAAGTTTACTCATGATTACTTTTCAGAAGAGTCATCGTTAGTCTCTTATGCCGAGAGTCATTTCAGATTGTATGATGGAGTGGAAACGTTTCTCTTGTTCATTGGTTATCCACGTAGCATTCATAGTTTAGTGGGAGCCCTATTGGATGCTCACCCGGAAATAATTATATCACACGAGTATGGTGTGCTAGGAAAATGGGAAAAATACCTTTCAGCGCGGTTGAAGAAAAAGAAAAACCTACAAAAATACGCACTGTTCTATGACCTTCATCAGTTTTCCTTGAGGGATGCACTATTTGGAAGGCGTGCTACATTCAGTAAGACGCTTCTTGCACCAAAGTTCAGGTACACTTACAATGTGCCTGGTTTATGGCAAGGTGGATATCAAAGGAAAATTAAGGTTAGTTCAGTGAGTCAAAGTTTTAGGTTTTTTCTCGTAGTTCTCGAAGACGTTGATGCCCTTTGCTACTGAATGCCCTCACTCACTCTCTTCCCCCCCCCACCCACTATACAGTGGCTAACTCCCCTATATAGTCACCCTATCGTGGGTCTGTTAGGTGTTCTCGGGCAAGATACTTAACCCTTTAACTCCCAAGGCTCATTAGTCATTCTCCCTACTGTCTGCCATACAAATCTTATGATGTTAGTTTGGAGAATTTGGTATTGGATCAGTTTATAATCCCCCAATTGATATTTTTCTTTATTCTCGTCACTTGTCTGCTTGACATTGTATCGATATCGTAAGGAGAAATTCTGTCTTGGTCACTCGTCGGAGTTAAAGGGGTTTTTTATCAGAACGATACATGTATATGGAATTGTGGTACAAAAAAAGTCCATGATAACCAGTAATAGAATTACACTGTATTGCATGCAGAAGTGTGGTTCTTATACATGCATAACCGAAATACCAACATCGGTGGCAATCAGGTACAATTGCTAGGAGCAGATATGCTAAGAACATTTTAGTTTTTATAGAACTAAAGCTTTAAAACCCATAGTGAATTATGTTTATTTATTTTGGGTTAAGGTTATCGGCGATAAGCAAGCTGGTAAAACTTCAGAGTTCTTATCAACGGCAATAGACATTCTAAAAGAAATAAGGCAAACCCTCCAAGTACCGCTAAGATTTATACACATTGTCAGGAACCCTTTTGACAACATTGCCACCATGACACTTCGAGAAACAGGAACGCGAGAGGCTGTGATTGAAGAAGGAACGCAAGTAAGGAACGTTGTAGACATTCTTAATCTAAATTTGGTGACATTCATTTGGCGACACATTGAAGTTAACCAGGTTCCAAATCCTCACAAAAGGCATGGCGCTCAAAACTTTCTTTTTTTCTTTTCTTTTCTTCTCATCTAACAGATAAACAATACAGCCCAAGACTTGGAGAAGTCTATTAACCGCTATTTCAAATTAGCGGCTGCAAACCAACGCGTCCGGGAACTTTATGGCGATGAAGTTGTCGATATTGCAGGGCACGAAACTATACTGAGACCTAAAGAAACTCTCCAGAGATTATGCGACCATTTAAACGTCGCATGTTCTGAGGATTACTTCGAGAAATGTAGCAATATCCTGTTTTCAACCCCCTCAATCACAAGACACAAAGTAGTTTGGACTGAGGAACAAAAAGTACGCGTAACACAAATGATGAAGAGTTACTCCTTTCTTCGAGAATTTTCTTTCGATAAGTATCCCATATGATACTCTTATCAGGAACATGGGATGAATATGTAGCATACTTGGAACAAAGTGCCACCATTGAAATCAATTATACAAGGTGTACTGATTACTTTCTGGGGATTTAGTTATTTCTGATCCACGAATGAATCTGTCAATGAACCTCAAGAACTAATGAAAATCACTGTGTAAATTTTCGTATTTGATATACTTCTTTAAACTCAGTCTCACTAGCAACATCACATATAGGAATTAATTTTGTTATCGTTACCGATATGTCATATACATATACTTAATGAACAGAATACTTATCAAAATGCAAATGCATAGGTTCTAAACGAAGCTAACCATTTTTCAATCAAATATTTATTTCTCAAACTCATTATGCACTACCTATTTACCAGATAATTTCGCAAATGAGTGTAAAAATATGATATGATTCACAAGGAAGGTTCAGGAGTGTCAAATAAGCAGCAGCAACAGGAGTGCTCCTTAAGCAGTAGTCTCATCATAGTGTTGAGTCTTCAGAACAACAACGAAAAACAAACTACGTTGTTCGTCACCTATCAAGAAGATAGTCTAATTGTTAGCCCACACATTGGCTAGACGAAGCAGAGCCTCTTAAGGAGGATTAGATAGTTCTAACCCTCTAATGCTTGTTTCTGTTTGGAAGATTTCTATCGCGGGCGGGCGGAAACTGGTTTCTTCGGAATTATACATGCCCGATCAAAATTTAGGTCTTAGTAATTATATCAATTATGTATGGCTCATTTAAGAATTAACTCGTATACTGCAGGATCTCTTAAGAAGGAGATTGCGCCTTATTGGGTTGGTGGCGAGGAAAAAAAACTACTCTGAAGGCCTCTACCTTCAAACAGGTTGTCAGGTCGAGGTTATTTCAATTAACATATTAAAATGCTCAGTGCCCCGATCGAGGAAGGTATTTTGTGCTTGGTGACCCGTTCCCAGTCTTCAAGATGCCATGAGTTGGAGAACTTAGCCTGCGGATACTCAGCAGTTCCTCATCGCGGGGTGGCTCGTCATAGTCATGAGAGTAGATTACACCTTCGATGAAATTAAACAAAAAGTATGAGAAAAGTCATAATTTATGTAAACAACACACCCTTACTATTCAGCGGCTGTTTCCGGGCCGAGATGAAATCCCGTTCATATTTACGTCCATCCACCTTTCTGCAGACCCTCCCTTTCCTTAAAACAACTCATTCTATTGTGGTTCACATTACACTCAGACACATGAGGCGTCATGTGAAATTCGTAATAGCCAATTGTTCATATCGACCTACTGGAGAAAGTCGTCCTGTCTAAAAGAATGAATCAAGAGATTTTGCAAGATGATACTTCGCTATTCTATACCCTTGTGAGACGTGCAATTCTGTTTGTTTGTTGTTATTTATCGGGGATATCGTCGTTGTAGTTGTATACTGCCTGTCAAATGATATCAGCCATCTATTGAAATTTATAGCAGTATTATTGTTATACTTTCGGATCACCACTGGGTGGATGCAAACTTTGTTCTCATGGTTATTATTCAATAATATCCATTATCTCAATGTAATTTACGCCTCTCAATCTATTCATGTGAAACTTGTCTTGGTCTCAAGTGTGTTCCCGCAAACGAGGATCGTTTAAACAGTTATAGGTCTACGGCTAGGTAAAAGGGTCACTACCTCTCTGATTGTCCATAACAATATAAGGGCTTCTCCTAAGGTCACCTTCAGGCTCATCATACACGCGTCCATCTGGACGCCCTCTGAAAGTGCTGTCTCTGTGGAAGGTATTGGAGATGCTGTCCGGGTATGATTCGTCCAGGGCATAAAAAACAGGGATCGGTGATGCTCTTGCTTCGGATCTAGAATTCAAGATGTCTCCTGGACAGTCATAGGTGTCGTCGTTGAACTCTGGATAAAGATAAAAATATTGCTCTGTACGTTTTGTGTGATGGTCACTCATAAGGATGATACTATGATTTAGTAGCATTTTTCTGCAGTGTCATAAACGAGTACTGTTGACCGTGAAAGTTACTGACGTTTCAGCCATATAGGCGATAGCCATTTAAGGTCAGAGGAGTTGTTTATTAGTTGTGTACTTTAATTTTGCTTCCGAAAGTTGAATGGCTGGTAATGCCAGGCTGGTTTTATTGGCTTCAAGACTCATGAAGCGCGCACCAGTGGTAATAGGTCAATTACCCCTTCACTAGTTGTTGCGCAACATCGGGTTTGCTCATATTACCTTCAGGATCCTTTCTCGTATCGAGAACAACTTGATCGGCGCTGACTCCAAAGTCGCTGCAGTTCAGCTCTTCAAGATCTTTGTGGTGCATCACCTGTCCTTCATACAGTGGATTCATTGTCACATATTCTTCTCTTAGCGCCAAAGCTGGGTTCACTTGTCCGTTCATGCTACCGCGCTTTGAAGATCCTGGTGGAGGCCTGGGAGGAGGGTTTGTGGGGTAATGATCTGAGTAGAAAGACCCTCCTTTCATGTCCAAGCCCGACACAAATAGCCCTTCTGAGCCCCCGCGATAAACGGGGTTATCTGGAGGATGAAATAAAACAAAGAAATAAAAAGAGAGTTCCGGTAACAGAATCTAGCGTAAAATGCGTTCATCTGCGTGGAGTTTCAGTTTGGTGCTAGAGAGAAAAAAAAAAAACACAAGCTGTTCTCTACTAAAAGCGCACACCTTGATACATTGTAACGAATTTCTGCGTTATCCCTACAAGCCTTACATATTACCTACCCAAGCTCCTCGTCCTTTCGTCGAAGGTCCCTAATGGAGAGAGATAAGAAGCATCCGAATAGACAGGAATTGAATGTCGACTCATCTAAAAGAGAAACAGTAACAATTTTTAAGCCCTACACGTTCAACAATAATATTTTTCGACTTAACTGAACAATGCATGCTCAATTTGATCTTCTGACAGGAAAGAAAGATTTGTGATAAAATCCACATTTGTATACTCACGTGAGACACGGGGCTGGTAATCGACCCTAAAATAAAACAAGTGGGTGGACTTAGTCTTTATGAACAGATCTTTTGTGTAAAGAGCATGTCTTATAAATATGTCCTGACGACGATCAAACGTATCAGTGTAATGACACTTTCGAGGCGTTTCCCCAGTTTTTTTTTTTTGACAAAATCACAAAGCTGAAATAAGTGAAGTATATTTCGTCAAAGGTCTTGTTTTATTATGATAGAGTTGTTACAAATTAACTTACCTTCTAAACGACGATGCGAACTTGGTTGTTTCCTGAATGTAAAAAAAGAAGGGACATTATTGCATTCAAAAGTAACGCTATGAAACAGTTGCTTGCAGAGTGTTCCGTTTCTATTTGTGATAACATTGATTTTATTCTGCCGAAAGGTGGAGTACTCTATTCTTTATTAAACTCTCGGTGGTAAAAGGTAACATGGTTTTTTAATACACCCTTATAAACCTCCTAAACATTTCATTCAAATAAAAGTCAGTGAGAAATTGGTTTTGGCAATGGCACTGCCCATTACGCTGTGTAAGGATGAATGTGAAAGAACCATTCATAAAAAGACACGAACTTTTCAATTCGTCTTAGTGTATAGGTGATGAAAGTTTGGATTCACGGTTCAGTTCAGCTGCAGTCGTAGTGATCTTACACTAGGTATGTAGGAAGCTCGCCAACGAGTTCTCTACAGCTCATTGGTGGGGTATCGGATTGGGATCCGTTCCTCTTGGGTTACTCAGTTGATTTCTTTGTCTCAGCTCGTGCTCTAACGAGTAACGTGTTGTTATCTATTATATAGCCTTACTTGGGACTGTTGCAGCGCCATAAGATGAGCAGTATTAAGGCTATTAAGAGAATTCCTCCAGCTACAGATCCAGCTATGATGTAAGTGTTCTTTTTGCTCTGCGTTCTTTGAGCTGTCTCCCCCTGTGATGGCTAAATGTACAAACCGAACATAACAAAAGAAAACGAAATTACCAAAAGTGGAGCTTTCCCCGACTGGAGCTTTGGCTTACTGTATACATGCGAGAGTTAGGTCGGTGCGAGGTCGTTGAATACGAAAGGTCGATGACAAAGAGAGATCGATGCACACGTGGAAGAAATTGCTTTCGATATATAATCCTTGAATTACGCATAGGAAATGACAATCTTTACATGTAAGAAGACACAAGTCCTGTAGACTTTCTTTGTAGACTTATAGAAATTTGAGCCCGTGTCTTATCGCATGAAACTGATTCCAGGGACATATATTTACGACTGGCATGTCGTTTAGTCAAAACTGAGCAGCAGTCTCTTTTCGATTCTCGCAGAAGGTGTGAATACGGATAATTACGTTATAGAAATAATTTAATTTACCATACCTGCTCAGTTTGAGGTGGCATTGTTCTCGCGCTCTGAAATGAATATAGAATATGGTTATTCCCAGGAAATAGAAGAACCTTACTCGGCTCCACAGTATTTGAAAGCTCTCTTATCCTTTAGCACAAAAAATTTCTTCTGGGGTTCTGGTCATGTGCTTTTTCTTGAATCTATTTCCTTTTAAATGTACTTGAGAATAACTGCTTTCTGTTTGATATAATGTAACATAGCCTACCTGAGATGTTGGCTCAGTCGTTGCTTTTTCAGTTTGTCGCGGTTGCGTGGTTTCTTTTGTTGGAGAAGGGCCTCTAGTAGTCTCGGCCATAGTTACGGTCTTTGAAGTCGTGGTCTTCACAGTTGGAAGGGTTGCTGTAGAATTTAGTCTTTCTAGAACTGGTGCTGGCAAAGTCGCCTGGTTGAAACCTGATGCCAGAGTTGGCCTAGGATATGGACCTAATAAAATAAAGGACAAAGAAAAATTAAGCAAATTAAAAAGGCCATGACTTGTTCCACAAAGCCACCCCCTTTTTTTCTTTTTTTTAACTGAAGTGCCTCAGGGTATGGATCTTATTAGTAGAAGAAAAGGCATTGCTCCCATCTTATTGGGGTCTAGAAAAAAGAATATCGAGAAGGAAGGAGGTCCTAAAGGAAGGTTATTTTATTACTGCACATTACATTTTACAATATGGCGGTCCTATAAGCCCCTGCTTTCCCTGCTTCAAGTCTTTGAGTTAATTTGCCATATAAGAGAAACAGTATTTTATACAATACGAACAACCCGAATCAGTGACAAAGAAATCGCGTTTTGTGTTTTAGTCATCAGCTTTTTCCAAAAACTACAACAAAGACAGGATACGTCCAGGTTGTCTTATTGACATTAAAGCGCTTTCGTTTTCATATGACACCTTACATTCAACAGTTCCTTCGCTCATGAACACGATGCAAGAGCTTGTGAGATCATCCTCAGAGTTTTCTCTACGGCACTGAATCGGAACTCTCACGAGATGGCCAGCTGTTAAATTTGCGAAAAGCGTCGATCCAGCTTTGATCTGAAAATGAAATTGTGATCGAGAATGTATTTATTTAATCAGAGTATCAGATTAACTGAAGAAAGGTATTAGCGTAAGAAACATTCATTCGCAAACCCATGAATGCTGAGATGCCTAAAGATATACTGAGATATATCTTTAGGCCAAAAGAATAAGAATTTGCCGTTTCAAAACTGGAAAAATTCTAGAAAGGAGGTAAATACAGATCGCTAAAGGTCCTAAAGGAAGGTTATTTTATTACTGTACATTACATTCTACTAAGGGGTGGTCCCATAAGCCCCTGCTTCCCCTGCTCTAAGTCTTTTATTACTAACTTGTCTTATAAGAAAGAAACAATTCTTTTTTTACAATACGAGCAACCCGAATCAGTGACAAAGAATTCAGATTAATTGAAGAAATATCAATGAAAGTAGCGTAAGAAACATTAATTTGCATGAGGGAACAATCATTTATCCCTCGCCGGGGGGGGGGGGGAGGAGTAAGGAGGGTTTGGAGGATTTTGGCTGTGTCACGATCGAATTTACCTGATCGCCCATAAAGCTCTTTAAAATTCGTCCGGTCTCCCTTCGTTGGCAATTCATTGGCGGTCAATTCTGTAGTCCCTCTGACGACTGATCCCCCTCCGTTTCCTTGAAAACCATGTGATCCCCCCACAAAAAAGTCCTCGACCCCACTCCCTTTCCTGGCTCTTGGCAATAAATAATGGCTCGTTCCTTAGTTCGACATCATTGTCATTTCACATACTAAACTCACCCTTATCTTGAGAACAGTGGTTGACCAACTAGGAGTCAGTTCTATAGTGTTAAGCACGTTTTGTGCTGTAATCGGTTTCCATGAACCTTCACAACCAAGATACTGGACAAAAAACTTATCTCCGTAGTAAAAGGCACAACTCCGGTTGGCGGGAACTGCTACCTCTTTTTCAAGAGATGTTTTAGATGGGAAGAATTTCAAGCGCTCTTCGGCCCTTTGGTCTGTAAAGAGTAGCTGACATTCTGTGAAAATTTAAGAAGGTAAAATGGACGTGAGGTAGGGCCAGATTTAGGAAAGACCTAGTACTTACAGTTCCGGTTTCGAAAAGTTGTACATTGCCTTCCCTGTTTATATTTCGGAGCACAACATTTTCATCTGAAAACAATGAAATATTAGGATGAGGCACATATTGGACCGGTGTTGGTGCTGAGAGCAGTACTGTTCTTCTTACAATGTAACTTCGAGTACAATAAGTGGAAGTTGAAAACTTTAACCTCTCGATCATTAATTGTAATCCGTGTAGATACCTCCAAGCTTGCCGTTCCGTTTAAGTGTTTCCTTTCCATTATATTTTTGTTTTTTGTATATCCTTGATTATTATAAATGATATTTTGTGCTTTCCTTCACGTTTAATGTAATTCCGGCAGCACCTCACGTCAGACGACTACAAACATCATTACGTTACGCATATTTATGACGTCCTTACTCTAACTACATTATGATAGCCTCAATACCTCGGTAAAAAATCTTACAGCGATTAGAATGCATGAACACATATACATAAATACAATAAATAGTACTGACAGTATTTTCCTGATACGAAAAGTGATGTTTTCGACTTCAAAATATTGCACTTTGACAACTTAAGTTGGTGGGTTTCTTTCAGGCAAACCTGGTTTTACTAAACATGGTGGGGTAAATGAGATTTAAGACGAATATAATGATACGAAAAGTTATATTTAAAAGATCGTGGTGGTAAGGTAATTTGAAAAGATGAATTTCAGGACCAAAAAAGGGTCTCAAGACCTCTAAAGATGCACGCATTGCTCTCAATCCCAAGAATGGCTTCTTAAGAATTCCAAAGGGCTTGCATTTTAGCAGCAAATGATATAATTCCTGTTGTCTTTCGTGTGATTCCTCGTAGTGGCGAAGGTTGACATTCATTATATGAGCTTAATTCAAGGGAAGTTAATGCCCCGATGTCCATGCGACTTGACGTTCAATCCTACGGAAGCATCACAGTGTACTGCGGGTTTGCCTTTCACGGACTTCTTTCACTAAAAACCAGTTCTTGCATGGAAAATCAATACGACCTAAATTCTTCATGAAGTATATAAACTGTATGGTTGGTTTCTTTAATGAATAGAACATGAAGTTCTCATTATCGATAGCTTTTACAACCTAACAATTTCCACAGTACGCCTGCGAAAAAGTAACCGTTAAACTACTCTACATGAGCTAGAAAATTGTTTACTTGCACATCGATTAATATTTTCTTCTCCACAAAGATCATTATTTTCGGAATTATTAGCTTATAATTGCTTGGATCAACCGTTTGGTTAAAATTTTAGTGAGTTGTAAATCAGCAAATAATTTTCAATTTGGTAGACTCTGTCTTACCTTAAGCGATCAACGTGATTTTATAATTAAAAGATGGGGAATTACACAAGCTTTATAACTTTGTCTTACAGCAAAGAAAACAGTGTGCACTGCAAAAATAGGAAAAAATATCCGAAAAATTACGATCTGTATTTATATTTTCCAATGATGTGGCCGTCGACTCGTAGACTTAGTACTGCTATGTGACTGAATACTTACAATGTGTTAACGGAAAACAAAAACAAAGCCAAAAAAATTTGTACCTGACTGTTGGCGAAGACTTTTAACTGGGATACAAGTCGAACTAGGCTCCCAAAACGCCGTCGCTTGTCCTCCTCTTTCTTCACAGTAGCACAAACATTGTGTAAGGTGTTTAGCGTTGTATCTGTCACATTGCTGTTTTGTTCTATTGCACTGAGAATTTGGTACTGTAATATCATCTTGCGAAACAGACGACTCTCGCCAGATTTTTAAAATTTCTTGCGCCGTACCGCAGCTCAAGATCGCCATTGTAAAGACCAGTATTATCACTGATGACGACGTAGCCATTGCTTGAGCCAACTTTTGTTTCTGAATTAGGAGAAGTGATTTCTTCAATTACGCTAATTAATCGAATCGAATCGAATCGGAAACTTTCTATCCGAGCCTCGTACAAAGTAGACGATTCTGTGCTTACTTCTCGAAGAGTTAGACTGTGAACTTCACTTTCTCCAAGTCTTTCGTAACTTGCGTGTTTGTGTGTAGTGAACTGCCGAAACCAAGTACAGATTGTGACACGATCGAGGCAAAACCTTCACTCACACGATTTAGGATTCCGCAAATACCCTTCCCAATATCATACGAAATATTGTGTGCACGGGAGGCCATTGCTACCAAAAAAGTCTTTGAGTGACAGCTAGCTTAGCATCATCATGTAGTGATACTTTCGCAGTTCGCATATTGCTTTTGATTTCTTTGCGAATGAAAATACAGTTTAAATTTGACGCAAGTACGCGTTCTTGGATAGCGAAAAAGAAAGAACATCCTCTTTTTCTGTGGAACTCAGAGTTTAAGCTCGTCACCAAATGAATCGTGTGAAAAAATTGTTTTCCTCAACTCACTCAATATTTGTCGTTGGAAGTGATACCGTGGGAGTCAAGATTTCTGATTTTCCTGTTTTCCAAGCTACACTTAGACAATAAATTCTTCATTCATGGCTGATAGCGTCACTTCAAAATTGTCATGAAAGACGTTTTGGTTGATAGTGAGATCGAATTTTTTCTATCTATATATTAAAAAGAGATCAGTGCAAACGAGGTCAGATAGATCGCAAGTCAGCGTGGTAATTTAAACGGATTACCGAGCTGACAAACAAAGGCCATCTTTGCCGAACACAAATAACATGCTCGTGCACTGGATTAAGCAATTTTGACAGTCATGAAAAGATTTCGGCTATAAGCCAGATGTCACTGAGGCCTGTAGACTCGAGAGCACTCGGAAAACTTACTCGCCCTGATTTCTGTCTTTCTTTATCGTTACAGTCACTGAACAAAAGGTCTGGATTTACGTTTAGTTGTGTCGCCAGAAGAGAGAAAACAGTGAAGTTAAGGTGCAGGAGTAGTCAGTGTCAAATAAATAAAGGGGTAAGTTTCTAAAGAAACTGTGGTGCTGCGTCGGTGGAAGAGTATAGCAGGTAATTTAGTGTTAAGAACTGGGTTGAAAACGTAAATTAGCCACCGTAACGGTAATTACCTGCTAGTGTCAAATAAATGCTTGTACAGAATGTAAATTTTCTTTGACGGTTTTTTCCCGTATTTATATTTTCGAGATGCATTTTTTAAACAGATTCTCGTCTTCGTAAATCCTGCCTGCGGGCACTGAATTTCTTTCATGGGCACGGGAAGGAAATTTATATGGCTTTGTCTATGCTAGGTAATACCGCTGTCCAAATGTATTTGGAGACCTTTGAAGGGCAGTACTGATGTACAACATCCTTTAAATTAAACAATACGTGAGCAAAATCTCATCAAACCCCCGCGTTTATTTTTCTATTAATTCGTCTTAATCAATTAATTGTGATATTAACTGATAGAAGTGTCTGGGAAAATTGATCGATAAATGTATTCATCCCAGATTGCGGAGCCTACAGAGAATTTCAATGTAACCACTTCCTTTTTACAAGGATGCCTTCGTTTGATGTAGGTCAATAGGGTTGTACGAAATGAAGCAATTTTCCTGTTCCTGTAATAACAGTATTGATGTGTCTTTCTTATAACACGCACAAAAACCACAGCTTCAGTTCTATATGCTCGGCGTGTCTTAGGCATTTGACCGCAATATCGAGATTGGTTCACGTTTGGTTCTACGTCAATTGAAGTCAGTGATAGCACAATATATGCTGCGTTATTAAAACAAAATCATGACAAAAGGGAAAACTTCCTTTAACAGGAACTTGAATCAAAAGAGGATGTAAATTTTTTCATTGAGAGCATTAAAGGCTGCCAGAAGATAGAAATTATTAGTTCTCAAATTGTGATGATTTAGGAATTGATTGAATACAAATTTTTATTGTTCTTGTTTTGTCGGCAGAACTGTTGACCAACCCTAATTGGTTTCACTAGGAACCGATAGCCTTTTTTATATAGGAATAATTAAGAAATCTAATTAAAATGTCAGAAAGCGTCAGTCCCGTCTTAAGTTAGAATTTACCTCAAATCTTGAAATGTGAAAATAGCTGTTAAAAGTATTGTTCTTTTTCTAATAGCCTCATAACTATAGGAAGCTGTCTCATAAGCTTATATTAAAAAAAAAAAAAAAAAAGGACAGTAAATTTTGAATAAGTGTATTCGTAAACAAAACCAGGAAATACAATCATTGAATCAGAAGAACAGAAACCAAATTCAAAGAGACATCACCAAGAAGGTCATGGTTGATCATCAAATATCATGGCTTTGTGCGTGAATGGTCAAAACAAAGCATTTCTATTATATTGCTCATGCGGAAAATGTCACGAAATGCACTTTTCAGCAGGCGACTTTCGATGCAGTCTGTCTGTTAAAAAGCAAAGAACTAAGAAGCCGAGGTGAATCTTTAAGGCTAAGTCAAGGCTTCCTCAAGGGTTTGATTGCTAGCACAATTATATGCCTCTTTTTTGTTACGATAAGTGCTCACGGCATTTAATTTACACAGCAGATCAATACACTTTTCGTCTGCATCGTTCGGAAATCATTACGCTCTTAATAAGTGCACAAGTCTTCATTCCAGACGTAAAGTGCAAGCTTGTGTCAACGCGGTTGTAGCACGAAAAAGATATCATGGTCAGCGTTCTGTTCAGTTCTGGCATGTTCTGTCCTAAGTATCATCGATTCATCTCTGTATTTCAATATTAATTTTAACGTAACATTCCGTTGTGGTTTTCTTTCGTATTCTAGAATTTCTACGTAATATTTATGTTTGAGAACATAGGAAACGACTATATCGCTGGCCATCGCTTCTACAAAAGAAGGCTTTTACGACCATTATTATTAGCATCCACACTATTTTGGGCTATTTTACATTACAATATCATTTATCGTACCTCCTTATCAAGTGTTTACTATAACCAGAAACAAAAGTGAATATTTCGACCAAAAAAGCCATTCAAGGCCGAGGAAAAATTAAGAATTTTTTTAGGTTGCAGCCTCATCTTTAGTTTATTAGTAATTCTCAATCAAAACTATTTTCAAAGCTGGACTATATGACGTGCAAATTTACAGCGCTAAATTTTGCGACGGTAAGTCGAATATTGTATTTTCTATTTTAGAATACATATCTTTCGAATCATCGTTATATTTATATTTAGGATTTATCTATGAATGTATCAAGTGTTCGGTGAGAAATAAACTATCGTTTTGCGGTATTGTTCAGATTCGAGCATTTTTACGAAATGGCTCCATACAATTTCTCTTATTTTACTCATTTGACTGCAGGCTCTCTGGCACTTATGTACGTGTATTTGTGTAAAGCTTGGTAACCTGTGTAGACTTGTCCTTCTAATGAAAGCTCTCTATAACCATCGGGTTCAGGACTTTCTTGAATTGATTGTGCCACAATTGTGGACCCCACTTGATTGCCACAATTATGGTCTTCTGACTCTGATCGTTCCAGTATATGGTAATAAGGGTCCGTATCCTTAGCCACCTGAGCGCCCTCATCATCTTCATCGTCGAAGGGTCTTTGTGAATCGGTTGGCTTAGAATCCTGAGGTGCGAGGAGAACAGATGCTCTTTCCTGGGGTATTCTGTGAGCATCAGTGCTGGAACTTCCTGGTATAAGGACATCGTCCTCTGTCTCAAGTACATGGTAATAAGGATCATTCTCTTCAGTCATAGCAGGAGCCTTTATTGGCAAGGAGGAGCAGCCTATACTTAGCCCCTTATTTCGCACCATTAGACAGGACTCCGCATAATCGTACTCCTCCGTTGATGCTACAGCTGGTTTGAACGTGTCTCGTCCATTGGCTTCAGCATGCAACAACAGTTTCTCTGGTATTCGTTGAGAAACAGCTTCAGGCACCTTATATCGTTGCACGTATACACCTGCAGTTGTCCAGAAATTATTTTTTAAACATTCGTATTATTTTAGAAAAGGTTGATTACGAGTATGTTAATTCTCTTCGCCTAATTTAAAATGAGTCAACCTTTTCTGTAGTTGTATCACGAAAGATAATCGTTGAACCTACCTCTTGGTAAGTCGCCGTCTGCCGAAGGAGAGAGGCTTTGGTACACTGGCTCCCCTTCGGCGTCCGTTTTTTTGTCCATGTCATTATCTGCACGCGTTTTCTTTTTCGACGACTTCCGACAATTCCTGTGAGCAAAGGGAATGATTACAGGTTTATCCTGCACAAATGCCGGTCGTGCTAAGTAAAAATATGTTTGATTTTTTTATGATATTTAAATGATGATGTAAAAAAGCTTTGAGCAATTTTAAAAAAAGCCTGTATTCTTTACTATTATGGAACTCATGTTACACTCGATGTATTTTGTAATTTAGGACTAAACCGTTGACTAACAGCTATCTTACTTATCGTTTCTTTTCCGGTAAATAAGCCAACCCATGAAAAAAGAGACCAGGAACACGGCGACAACTCCGACCGCTACTCCAAAGACCAAAGGAACTGATAATTTATGAAAAGCCTCTTGAATGTCCGTATAGTCTTGATCATGTTTTTCATTGTGCTCCAGGGATTCAGTAACCTGAACATGGTTAAAATGACAGATAGACGATGATGCCAATGATAATAATAATGATGAATGAAATTTTCTCCCCGTTACCAAGATAACTTTTTGAAGCTTACCGCGGCGTTCCTTATTGATTTCAAAATCGCTTTGATCACGAAATAAAAGTCTTTTTGTGATGTAATAGGCAGCTTACAGGTTGATTTGCTAAGCTTTCCTATATTTTGGTGAGTGGCCATGCGAAATTATGCCCATGATAGAAATGTGGTAGCTGGTAACATTTTTCCCACCCGCCTCTCCTTAATAGGCCAAGTTCTTCTTCTGACTTAAAAGAGGTTCAAGTCAGTACTCCGTTAGAGCTGGGATGGAAAATGAAATATAAAATAAGAAATTCAATAACTATACCCGGAATACTGTGTTAATCGCTACAGCAGCTCTTGTACTGGGTATGGTTGAGGATACACCCTTCTTTAAGGTTTTAGAGTCTGGAGTGCTGGCGATCGCCTCGGAAGGTAAACATTTCTCTACGGTTGCAGTTGGTAAAGGTGATTTGGGCGTCGAAATGTTCATTAGAGGACCTGTGGACAGAAAAACATTTTCTGTTATAGTTTAAAATTCTACAGCACCCTTTTCCTCTAACATTGACTAACATTTAATTAGTACGACTGCTGCATTAAGAATTACGGTCACGAGATTAATTAAAATGATCGCGAACTAATGGAGCTCGTTATTATTTTACAACTTCTCCTTATCAGTACCACGGAAAATAGATGGGAAACAGTATGAGAGTATCTCATGATCTAGATATCTTACGATCTGGAGTCCAGCGCGCTTATCATTGAACCACTCACGGTGCCAAGGAGTTCTAAACTCTCTCTATGGGAACGTGACTGTCGGTTTATAATACAATGTGTAATAGTGCAATTATAACAAAAGAAAGAAACAGGAGGTAAAGGTCAAACCTTCGGGTCCCGAGTAGCTTTTTGTTATTTTTGTAACAGAAGGCACTTCTTCAAAAGTAAATCAAAATTCGAATCTTTTCTCGAAGGTTATCACCAATCAGTAAAACTACATATCCGGTATACTTTTAAAAAGGCCAAAAACTAAATGCATCCAATGTTACTTACATGTAATCGTCCCCGCCATCTTGAAAAGCAAACAAAATTTCTCAGGCCCGATACATGGAATGGTTAGTTTTATGACTCTTCCGTGCAAATATTTGAGATTATCGCCGTCATTTATCTGGAAATAAAGATAAAATGATCAGATGTTCCGCCATAACCTGGAATGCCTCACTATGTTTAAATTTCTACCGTTTTACCTAAAAGACATAGACAGTTAGGGTAATTGTAAATCAGCTTTCAGCCTTTTTTTTTCTTTAGTGTATACGTAGACGAGCGGAGCCCCGTAAACCTTATTACGTAATTATTCCGAACTTTACATGTAGGTCCAGAGAATCAAGAAGGATAGTTAATCATGATTTGCTTAAATAAGCACTTTTTGATCATTCACAAGTAAGATATCATTTCCCCCTCTTCCCTTGACTGCTTTGATATCTTGCAATGGTTGTCGTGAATGCAAAATCATTTTATTGATTTTCTATTACCATTGAACAATGTTGAAAGACATGCAGTTAATTTTCTTTCTTTTTTTGAACCAGTAATTTGTGTTTCTCACCTTAAGAATATAGCGACGAGTTGAGCCTGTCCATTGTCTCGTAACCTTAAGTCCCCAATCGGCAGACGTTTCGTTCTGCAGTGCCAACTCTCCGTCCCACGCTTGAAAACTGAGGCTTACTTTATTATTATCACACTTTATGTCGGGGTTCACCTGTAGAGTAGCCCTTTGTCCTTTCTCAAACATTCTCAAAGGGTCTTCATCACTTTCGTTGATAAAATACGTTTTCCTGCAATCTTGATAAGAAGAGAGTGGCAACGCAACTCAGATCGTCCTGGTGTGTAGCTTGCATTTTAAGTCAGCTCACTTAATAAATACATACGCTACAGTGCAGTGCCCCCCCTCCCCCCCCCCCTCCCTCTTCCCTAAGAGACATATGATAGACAATGCGACAATTCATTTGCTGATAAGTATGACCTTCAAAGGTGGCGTCAACCTTTTCTTTAGATATAATTTTTTTATCATACATTTATTCTTATATATCGCCACTTTTTTCGGAATTCCATGATTATCACGATGATATTGAATCGATTATTTTCCCACAATGGCCAAGAACATAAATAAGAATTTCCTGCGGCATATTCGCAGCCATTTGTTGTCACTCTGTCTACGTTAGATCTCACAGGTAAAATTCATTTGACAATAGGGAAATCAACTTACCAGCCAATTCCCTCATGCGAAGCTCTCTATTGTTAATGCATTGCCAGGTACTATTCTTTATCCCAAATGTTGCTGCTCGAGGAGAGCAAACGCATGCACATTCATCGTTAGGAGACGGAACCACTCTTGTTTTAAAATGGCTGCATTTTTCTTGGCATGTACTCCTCTCATACAATCCTGTCACGGTGAAACCGTCTACTGTTCTATTCTGGTTGCTGTGTCGTTTGATTGTTAAAAAATCATTCGATCTACCATACACAAAAACTGTTTGGTGCAACAAAAACAGCACGAATAAAGACATTCCTAATTTTCTTTGTTTTCCTGTTCAAGTTAAAATTCGTGTAGGTGTTCCTCCTTCTAACAGCTTTGACCTGCTGGCCCTTTTTGGCGTGCGTGCTTCGTTTAATAATCTGCTTATTTCCCAAATGAAACCGATTCGACATGCCAAACCCACAACTTAAGTCACGCGATTTGGCACTTTAATTTCTTTATAAAAGAAGGGGACCATTTTGGGTAGAATGATAACATTTTGAATATTGTAAATCAAAATTCTTGTTTCCTGTCTGTAAAAGAAGCAGGTATCGACACGCTGTTTCAGGTTATACTTTCCCCCATGCAATCACGCGATAGCAAAAATATACCAACAAGCTTTCAGTTTTACCCAATAGGAAAATCATCAACCGAGACATTCGTGAGTTTTTTTTCCCTTCTCGTCGAAGTTACATCACTTGCTTATTGTTCAGCTGTTATTTAAAACATACTTCTTATTTCAGTTTACTGATGAATCGCGCCTTTCATTTTCTTATGATAGCTAATCCGTAGTAATCAGTCAAGCACATAAAGAAGCGATTATCGTTTAGTAGCGGAAAAATTGCTTTTTAAGGAAATGAAATACGAAAGGCGCTGAAACCTTTTACTGATCATGATATTTTGTTACGTGATAAGTCTCCCTTTTCGTTTCCTGAATGAACTAGGGATGTTTTGATACAAATAAAATTTGTTGTTCCGACACACAAGCCCCGTGACTCGTGCACAAAATCGAGAAACTAAATTCCACCTTTTTCACGTAAGAGTTCGGATAGGTTGGACTTGATAAGACTCCACGTTGGTCTCCCACAAACCTGTGTCGGTTGCTACGGCAAGCATAAGGCTAAGCTATAGATAACCTTGATAGTGATACAACAAACTTAGCTGATTACAGATCCGCGCCTCCGACAATGTTGTTGTCAGGTCTGCCAAATTTGGTTGCATTTGATCGGACTAAGCATAATCGCCTGTGCAATATTGTTCAGACATTCAATAGGACTTAACATTTTGGAAGTATCAGTTTATAGCACACTTCTCACCAAGTGTTTCTTACTGTCTGCAATAGAGCTTCCTGAATATAGAAAATAAGCCTTTTTGTCGCAGAGGTTACTATATTTTTATGAATTTTAAGTTGTATCTTACCCACGCAATATCGATTTATCATACATAGGTAAGTGGATTACAAAAAGCTTATCAGCTAGGGGAAAGAGATAAAAATCTCTTGCTAGGGGATGTTATTCTCAAGCGATACGAGTCTCCCACTCGTTCAAGCCATACGAGCTAACGTTACTGCGATCGTTTATCCCGCTGGTCATGTTTGATTTGGAGTTAGGGTGGACAGTGAGGGTAGGGGGCGGGGGAAGGGCGAAATCTTCCCCCCTATCCTCACCCCTCTCCTAATTTGTGACCGTCAGTCGCCCCCTTAGTAAAAATTTATTTTTCTCTTTTATTTTTCGCTGCCCTTAAAATCAAAGATGGCGGCCATAATTTTCGTTAAGAAAATACTGAGCTCTCGCCCGCCAAAATTACGTCTGCTCTGCAGGTTAACTGGTTTAGAAGTAAGTGTATAGCAACTACAAAGGGATATTTTCGATTCAATCCTGGATTATAAAGATAAAGGGTCGTCCGGTTGGCGGATGAAAACCCAGGTTCGAATCTTCAAATACATGCGAGACGTTTACATTGAAGAATGGATTACCAGTTTCGCGAGTAAAAAATTCATATTTCTGACGACTGAGCTTGCGAAGAAGGCTTACATAAATATTTTGTCGGCACAAGACACTACACGGTGTGGGTACTAGGCCGGTATATCATAGGAAGGGAACCAGAGGTATATATAGGCAGGAGAATAGCACGTGATAGTCATCTAGGTCTCTGAATCAACCCAGAGTCGGAGCTCCATTTAGTTCAACTTTGATTTTTAGTTTTTGTTCTTTACAAGCCTCCGTAAAATGGGCTCATAGTTTCCGGAGCTAAAGTCTTAATTCTTACCTAGATTTCCTGCCTTTTTTCCCCATCGGGCTTTTTGGCAGGTTTTCCTGGTCTCCGTTCTAACAACTTTTACACTGTAAGCGGTTGCTCAGCTCCGTCTACGAGACGTATCCAAGGTTTCTTTGTTTTTTGTGTTTTATATGTGTCTTTAACTTAGGCTGTTTTATATTTCAGTGACTCGGTGTCTCGTAGATCGGTACCGTTGCTCTTGACTGTAAACTGCTTACTTAATGTAATTTGCACTTGCTTGGCAATCTTATCGGCAGTTTTTTTTTGTCAGCCTAAGTGGCATTTTTCGTTTGCACACCTTTTCATTCGGGGGGGGGGGGGGGGGGGGGGGGGGGGGGGGGGGCTTTTTGGTTCACGTTGATGAAGATTTGTAGTCGTGCACATATGAGAGATTAGAAGTGAACTTCCCAGCCCAACTGGCAGTCTTATGCAAAGTTTGTTGGATTGTAAATGTGCCAGCCTAACTGGTATGTACGATTTGTACTCGTGCACATATGTGCATTTTGGTCCAAAGCAGTGGACTTCCCAGCCCAACTGGCATTCTTACCCAAAGTTTGTTGGATTGTAAGATTGTTTCCCTAACTGGCATTTTCGATTTGTACATGTTTATACATATTTAGGATTTTGGTCCAAAGTAGTGGATCCCCCAGCCTAACTGGTAGTTTAAGCTAAGTTTGTTTGATTCGTAGTCTTATCCGCCTAACCGGCAGGATTGATTGTACACGTACTTTTATTTATATTTTAAGATTTTAGTTCACAGTAATGGATTTCCCAGCTTAACTGGCAGTCGAACGGAAAGATTTTGCAAGTAACGGCAAGTTTTGCACGGGCATCACGCAGATGACCGTGGTAGCGTGTTATACCTCTAGGACGAACGGTCGAAGTGGACTCTTAATAATTTACTTTACCTAGTTCACACAAGCTTAAGGTCTTGCGAACTTTTTAATATCGTAGAGTGATTTGGGTTGGTTTTTGCCAGGCCCTCCCCGAAAAAATGTATTTGTTAACAAGCTCAACTGTTTGCATGCGGTTTAGTGGATACTAAATACAGCGCATGCTTGACATGACCTTACTTGGCGTGAAACCTTGCTTTGTTGTAAGGCTGTGCAGACTCGAAAACAATTTTATGTAGTCAGTTACACCGCTTGAACAATTAGTCAAGTCCTCAGCTCTCCAAAAGCAAAACGAATTCTTTAAAGCTACCTATCGCAACTCGTATTTTATGTTAAGCATCTTGTCAGGACAATACGTGCATCTTTTGTGCTTAATAGTCTTCAATGTAAATCATTCTCGACATCTTGTAAATGTTTCCTTTTTTTCTTCTTTGACGTTTCATCTAATTAACAATCAGAAATTTCAGGATTCTTTTGGCTCTCCTTATTATAAACAGTCTCCTCCAAAATGCTGTAAACTGGATCCCGGGTCGCACTTATTGCATCATCATGTTGAGTGGTGTCCTGTGGTGGTTCACCACAAAACTCCTCTATAACTTGGTACACTGGATCGTTTTCATTTTGGTCCTCGTCTGCGTCCGTCGTCTCCTGGCCCCCTATCAATATTTCCTCCACGATATTGTACACAAGTTGTTCAATACTTAGCGGACCATACTCTTGAAGGAACCTTATTGTTTCATTTTTAGCATGCTTCTTCACAGATTCTGGAATCTGGGGGTTATGTTTAAAGCTCTGAAATTTTTGTCTCTGGGGAACGTTTAGTCGATCGTGCACTTGTTCTTCTTCTAAGTTTTGTCCCAAGGTTCTGGCCCAAGTTTTTGTCTGCTTTTTCACAGACGCTGTAATCTGGGGGTTTTGTTTGAAGCTTTGAAAGTTGGGTCTCTGAGAGACAGGGAATGAATCGTGCATGTGTTCATCTTCAAAGGTTTGTTTCAAGGTTCTGTCCCAAAGTTCTGCCTGCTTCTTTACAAACGCTGGAATCTGGGGGATTTGATTAAAGCTTTTAAAGTTGTGTCTCTGAGGGAAGGGGAATGGATCGTGCATTTGTTCATCTTCAAAGGTTTGCCCCAAGGGATTGCTTATCTCGTTGAATGAGGTTCTCCGGTCCACTGGTACTTGATATGTCGAAGTATAGATAGCTGAGAAAAAATACCAAACGTTTTATCTCTCGATAAATATAACTCATTACTGAGTGTCATCCACTACACTTTCAATACACTTTGTTAGTTTCTATCGCAGCAATCTATTGCTCATATATCCATCGGTGCTGCAGAGACAAATACGACTGAAAACTTGACAATATTGAATATCTTGGCAACAGAAATAAGTTCAAGTGTTCGTGGGTGTCATAGGCAAGGGAGGATATGATCATTATTTTTAGGCACAGTAATACTTTTAGATATGGCGAAGAGTCGGTCATTTGTTCAAAAGAATCATAGATTATTTTTACTGATCAAGTTATTTCACTTTAAAATTGTTCAGAAGTGTTAGTCATGCATTCCTGATGAACGTCCTGAGAAATCGTGGAAGAGTCATGACTTACGTATGATCAACTGAAATATTAAAGACATCTCTGCGAATGTCTTGAGATTTTTTAAAATTTTTAACAAATTCCGGCCCCATATTGTTCTTCTGTGAATTAATTTTACCACGGAGCTAATGAAAGAAATTAAACTTACAAGGCTCTCTGAAAGTGAGTGAAAAGTAACCATTCGGTTCTTCCTCGGGAAACTCTGCGTTTGTATGCGAATGGATGACTTCTGGAACCTGAAACTCAAGGGAATGAAAAGTTATTTTCATCATCGATGCAGGTTTGAAAAAAAAACAAAAATCGAAACGAAACTAAGCAAGAAGAGAATATGTAAACAACATGATGTTGCTCATAAATACCACAGTGGAATGCACCGCAACATCACAGGTTAACCAGCGTTTTGCAAAATTTAGGTTCTACCTGATGACGCTTCACAGGGGAGGGGGGCGAGCCCGAGCCGGGTAGATATGGAATTTCTCGTCGAGTGCTTAACTCGATGGCTAACGATGAGCGCAGTGAACGAGTGATGGGATGTCGAATTGAACACGAGAAGAAAAATTTCATATCTATGACCAACCATGAATTATTGTGTTTATCACATAAACACAGCAGCCCTTTACTGACAAGAAAAGTCGACTTTGTTACTGGATGAAAATGAAAGGATCGACACTCGAATCAAAAAGTGCGTTGGCGCACTTAAGCTGACTGACATGTGTTGAGTCACTACAAAAATAAACCATGGGCCTAATTTTCAGTTATTGAATTGGTCCTCACCGTTACATCTTTTAGTAGTTGATTTTCGTTCTCAGCCGCGAGAAACGCCATCACCAAAGCCACTAAATACGTAATTATCGGTTTTTCTTTTCGTAATTTGGTTTTCTTCCTCATTTAGGAAATTTTGAAAGTCACTGTATCTAAGCGATACGAATTTTTCCGTGTTTTAGTAGCCATAATCCGAACAGATTCCGACAAAGGACCATGGATTGAGAATGGTGAAGGCTTTGCCATTCATTCATCAACATGACCGAGTGGCGCGAAAGGCGAGTGACGTGTCAGCAGCTGATTGGCGATATCAAACACGCGTAAAAAATATCGTATGTTTTTCACGTGTGCTGTTAAGGCTTTTCTCAGGGCTGGAAATCCTTGTTTAACACCGTATGATGATGTAATATATGTAACAGAAGATCTGGTGGAAAGTAATACACACCCATGAGACCCTCCTTAATGACGTTGATTAATAAGGAAAATGTGAAAGTAAGACAGCGGTTTTTCACCCAAGAACAAAAAGTGGGTCCGCAATGGTTACAAAACAAATCACTCATACAAATGAAAGAATACGAGCGCCTCGCAAGCGATTTTTTTTTGAACAACTTTATAACAGGTGCTGATGAAGCGTTAATATTAGATTACCTGTGATTCCCTTCCTTCAACTGTTCCCATGTGGCCTATGTTTCTGAGAACAGAATGTAATTATCATTAAGCCATTGAGAAACTTGTTGCACAATTTGATAGCGTAAGCAAGCCTCCACAATGTACACACGTTAAGTGAAGATGGCGTGCCCTTTAGTTGCCCATAATTTTTTTTTTACCTAAGTACCCCCAACAGACGAATTAAAAAGAGCGGACCTTAAAAGCCTTATTAATATAGCAGAATGACGGATTAGCGAACGCATTTCAAGAGTTGTGTACTTACTTGGAACTTAGACTGCGTCGACATACGACGAAAGCCATAATGATGACGAGGACCATAGAAGATACTGAGACACTTATGATGATCCAAACAGCGTTTTGCTGACTGTTGTGACCTGTGCTTCGTCCAGTGTCATCTGGATGGGAGCGTGAAGTAGTACTCTGAGAATGAGACCAGAATGTTCACCTTTTTAAAGATTTGTCATCACTAGTACTAGACAGTATAATGAAAGAGAGCGTAAATTCGAAAGGGATGTGAAGTCTTTTCTGTGTAATCGATAAACAACATAGTAAGTCCAATAGTCACAGTTTCGGAGATAATAAGAACTTTGAGTAACTTTATCAAGAGAGCTTTTATTGAAAAACCCTCTTTCAATGAATTTCCCATGCCGGCTCATTATCCTTACTTGAAGTGCGACGTTCTGTCGCGTAGGAGATGACGAGATTTCGAGTGTTGTACTTGGCTGAAGGGTGGCAGTTTCTTGGTGCCCATCCGTTTTAGGAATTGTGGTGGTTTTCGGCGTCGATGAAATCATATCTGGTGATGTGGAAGGGACTTTCCGTAGTGGCGGTTTAGAAGTATTGGTGACGTCGCCTGGTACGATCGTAATAAAAATCACATCAAAACAACGTTGATGATTAGATAATTATTTTTAGCCAATTTTTCTTAAAGTAACTTACTTACTGTGAATCAGTTACTCAAAAAAATGACCCTTGCTTCAGAGATAAGAAGCGAAGACAATGGCTCCTATGAAAGCGAATCCGTCGTATGTGAGGTATTTTTGGCTCACCCCTCTTTGTGAGATTTCAAAAAATTTCCGATGATTAACTAATCCAATGCGGTTAAATTGATCACATATGGAAATTTTAAGCACTCTCTTTCCGCTCTTTACTACACTATACACCATTCCTGGGAGTAAGAAATTCTCAGAACTAACATTCGAAGATATCTATGGTGGACTACAGGTAGCATTTCTATCGAGATTTTAAAATTAAAAGGCTCAACTTCAGTTCCATCATGATTTTACAAAAAGCGCCGGGTACAGCTATCTGCCCTTCCTTGTGTCCCCCTCTCGTCCTTCAAACCTCCCCACCCCTCCCTCTATAAACCTTAGAATCAACATAATGATCAACTTTGATATAATGGTGGTTTGGTTAAGCACGGATTTGATCTGGGCTTCTACTTACATATGATACTTCCTTCCATCTTAAACAACAAGCAGCGATTTCGGTTTTGTGTTGCACTTGTACTCGCACACTGAATACCCAAATTGATAATGTGCCCCCTCAGTAAGTGTGAGTCGAAAACATTTTTTTCAACCTGTTGGGGTGAAAAATCATATTTATACAACAGTACAGCGTTATATTATTTCATTGTGATCATTGGCGACATTTTGAAAGCTTTCTTCTGAAAGCTTTTTTCCTCCCTTCTTTTTTAATTTATCTAAACTGGTTGCCGGCATGTGTCCGAGGTTCAGTAGAAATTAAAAAGTCATTCATGCTAACATTAGAGCAGGTCAGTGATCTTCGTCTGAAAGAGGGGCGTGGGCAGGTCCTCCATTTCCTTGTTGTGGTTTGTGATCCTCATTATTTCCTCATTATTATATTGAGATATCTCATATGGTTATTTTATTGTCGCCCTTAACAAAAGAAGGTCGCATGCCCCTTTGGGACACCCTCTACCCTCCTCCTTTGGGATAACCCCTCCCCTCCTGTCTGAGCGACGTCCTTGGGCGCTTAGAACAAAACTGGTTTCTTACCTGTAAAATGTAATTTTGTCGTCCACTTTCCAGTTTAAATAGATTGTCTATCACATCGAGTTTCTGCGCTAAAGAAAGTCGTGAATCATCACACTCGGAATACCAAGTGTATGCCCTGTTTAACGTGCATCTATCCCAGTTGTTAGGTAAAGAAATTTCCTTCTCGTCACCGATATTTAATACGCGCAAACTTGAATTTAAAGACTCGTCGATGAACATTGTTCTCATAGCTTGTGTACAACCTATAATCGAAAAGAGAACAATTTCATGTGAGGAATATGACTTGCCTTTAGTGGCCAATCTTATGCGTGTTTCTATGCCTATGATGTCAATATACAAAAGTTAGACTGGAAAGCAACAATTGAAGCTCAAAGACAACTTTTTTTCATCCTCGGAAATCCCTGAATTTCAGAATAATTGGATTTTAAAATCTACATATTTATCCATTCATTTCATACCTTAAATTATTGCTTTATATTTTTGTTTTTTTCGAAATATTGATAAGGTTTTATTGGCTCGTGTTTCTGTGCACGTGCAGATAATGTAATATAGTGACGTCTGAAATTACAAGTATAATGTGCAGCACAGCCATCTGGATTTCTCATGATACTAATGGTATTTTCTTTTTCCCGCCATTTCATGACCCAGATAGTTCCTTTACGTGTGTTAAAAATGTTTTTAAAACCGTTTACTTTACTTCTGAAAGTGTGTAATATACATCGCAAAATATATATGATTTGATAAATCAGTGATAAGTTGCCTTCAAGTCGCCTCAAGTTCTTTTGTTTAAGTGCTTTTTATTGAAATATTGTTCTCTTTACAGTAAGGATGTCAGTCGTGTGAGTTTCAAAACTGCAGCTACATAGTTAACACGTTTGGTGATGATTTTGAATAACTCTCTGTTAGTTATGACATTTATTAACCTTGTTTTAATTACCAAAGAGGGAACGAGGACGCATAATAAAGGACGATTGGGACAATAATCTTCAGACTCTCTTTCCCAACATCAAGATGTTCAACAATCTTTTTCCAGTCAATATATTCAATTTTTCCGTCAGTAGACAAGTAGCATGTAATTTCATGCGTCCATAAACATTTTTTTCGAACTGGACGAGTACTCTTGCTTTGGTCGCTGGCAAAATTAAATCCGTAAAGATAGAATCATTGAATTTGAACGTTGGTAACCAAAAGCACTCCAATTTTGAAAGAAGAGAAGAATTAAAAGGAGAAAAGACAAGACAAACTAAAAAACAAAAACAAAAACAAACAAAACGGAAATTTCTCCTGGTGCAACGTGTAAGTAATCATTTCGTTCTTTTTATCGGATATCTTGATCTATGGTGAAAATTTACGAACGATATAATGGAAAATAGAAATGTTGTCAGAATGGTTTACCTAAGCAGAAAAAGTACATCAGAGCATACAGGGCATGACATATTGCAAGTATTAACTAAAGAAAGTATTATATTTATTTGTTTAGTTTCGGTTGGTTATCAGCTCGTCCCTCGCGATTTTTAAACTGATGGGGCGTGGCGAACGAGTCATTTTAAATGTACTAACTTCTCTGGGTCAAACTTTATGAGAAAGGCTGGATATCAGTCACATCAACAAGTACAGTTTAAAAATGAAGATCTTTCTCCAGGGTTTTTCTTTAAAATGACGTAGTACAACTCTGGCTGGTGTAGAAATTCACGGGTATGGAGTATTTTGGTAGTTCTAAATGATTTAGCCATTCGTTTATATTAAGCATGTACAGTGGTATACTATATGTAAATAGAATCATAAATTAGAGAAGCGAGAAATTATAGAATAGAGAGGAAAGGGCGAGAGTCCTTGGTGCCTAGCGTAAAAGCGTTTTGCGGTCTGCAGCTAGTTTCTCCGTTATTACGACCCAACATACTTGGTTGTGAACTTGTTAACAAAAAAAAAAACGTGTACCTTTTTCACCAGGTTTGATGTGTTGTTGAGATTGTAGATTCATCCTTACATCATTGTTCTCGTAGCATGACCATTGCGTTTCAAACGGCTTGAATGTGGCCTCCTTTAAAAGACAGGAACAGTTGCAGCTCTGAGTGATAGCTTCCGCATTAAAGGCGTTGCAATCATACTCGTTGTTATGTGGGCACAAAGAAGAAGGAATCTCGAAGGAATCTGCACCGTTTTGTACCGTTCTGTGAACCTTGAAAAGCACTGCTAATGTTTGATAATTGTCGCTTAACTGAGTCATCAAGAAAATCGAGAGAATAGCTATCGTTTTCATAGTGATCGAGTAGAGCTCGAAACAACCTTCTGTTTTGCCGTATAGAGGAATTCTTTTTGATGAAGAACAGCGAATTTGCAATGATTCTTGTGTACAAAGCGGTGTTTACTTGTAGACGTGCTGGCGCTCTGAACACTGTGTGCACTTGAATTGGATATTGCACTTCGGAATGAAATAACCTTTGTTCACTCCGATTCCAAATTTATTCTCACGATTTTCGACATTCGTCTTCGCCCCTTTTATAAACAAGTTGGTAACCTGTATCAAGCCTAAAAGACGAATCCAAGGGGGGTCGCAGGGGAGTCATTTCTCACCACTTGTATTTAAGTGCTAGACCAGTTTGTTCATAGTACAGTAATGGCAAATCAATATAAACAAAACATAACATTCACTTTTCAAAACACAAATAAAGCGAAAAAAGCCCCTAAAAATTTATCCCGATGATGTTTCATTTGAACAGTCGTATTTCAATCCGCAGATCCCTTTGAAAGCAAAAGGAAAAAAAGGTTCATTTCCTTTACTCTTTCACTTATCTGCGCGGACCTTACGAGATCGAAAAAAACAGCGGATATCTATGATGAAATAATTTGCAAACAACGATGAAACGATGAGTCAAACTCAATGGGTTTCACTCTTGTTTTACTCTTATCACTTCTTAAGCAGACAGGCTAGCCGATATTTTAAAAATCTTGGTCACGTAAATAAGTCGGCAGCGGTACAGTTAAAGAGATATTTACTTTTTATCTTTAGGCCTCGATGGATTTTGTTTCGATTTCTTCAACATTTTGACGCGTTGACACACTGAGCGTCTCACTCAGTGAATCAACAATTTAGCAAACCGAAATCCTGACAGACATAACGACCCAGCTTTCCTTCAGCAAATGAAAATCTGCCAATATAATTTATTGAGTCTCAAAAATTTTTCACCATGATTTATCCTTTTCGTCAGTTGCGTGTTGATGAGACTGCGTCACCCATGCTAATATCCTAAAATGAGGCAACTCACTGCTTGCGTTTACAGCTCAGAAAGGATCCTTTCACCCTTTATTGCTTATGACCTAACTATTTTTACGCCCTCGCTTTCTCGTCAGGGGAGTTGTACGATCTGAAACTTCATTACGACCTATTTGGATGTTTTCATGATTTCAGTTTCATTTGCACCCCCAACTTAATATTCAGCGTTGACGTCACATAGCGTATGTCTTCAGTGAATGATGAAACATTCGGTATTGTTTGTTCTTTATAGTATACGACACCCATTATAAACAACCGCAAAGTGGAATGATTGAGAGGTAAGTAAGAAGACTGCGCTCTAAACGAAAGGAAAGTTTGTATGTAAACCATATGCACCCACTCTCTTTGGGCAAGTTGAATATGTGTTGATTACGTGATTTCGACTTTGCTTTCCGAATGTTAGAAGGGCTGGAAATGACTTACAGAGTGCAATAAACTTATCAATATTGTTTCATGAGAATTAAAACAAATTCTTTTGTGAGGAAGTGAAATCATATGGTTATTGAGTTTGTTTCGAGGTTTGTTTATTCCACTGATTTTAAGATTCAACAAATGGCAGACACGTCAACGTAACGACACAAAGGTACAAAAAGGTAAAGAACAGTGGTGTCTCTGATGGAATGCCTCATTGCCAAACTTTAAGATCTTGGGCATAAAATTGACAAAACAATTTTCTATCGCGTCCTACGGTACACGCCAGTTCTTATATTTATGACCTTATATAATAGCTCACTTCGTTCTCGCGGCTCTTCGGAACTAGTTGACGAAAGGTCGTCAAGGATATTGCAGCTATGTTTCGCCTGGTATACAACTCCTTTTTCTCAAAACCTGAGAGTGTCCTATTGCTAAACGATTGATAAAAACTAGCTGATCTCTTACTCTGTTTCTTTAGCTTACTCTGTTTTGAATACAGCTTTGATTATTAGTCCGAGGATGACAGTAAAAAACTTAGAATCCATGAAATTACAAAACCACAAGTTTGAGGTCTTACCGATTGTGATGAGTGACAATTGCTCAATATTTCTTCTTTCTCCTCACTGAAAAATGAAGCGCTTTAACATAATGTAAGATATTTTGTCTCAACCATCACAGAACACCTCAATATTCTCTCTTAGAATAGCTTTCTTGGGGGGCAGGGCGTGTTTTATTACTGAGGTTTAAGAATATGGAACAAACCTTAGTTGAGACTTCAAGTGACTAAAGAGCACGACGATTGTTTTATTTTGAAAAACGCTTTAACAATGAATTGTGTGTGATGGAAAATAAGTTAGGATAATTGATATAACAGTAAGTTTCTTTTTCTCTCAGGATCAGGGGCTCTCTCAGGGATGCAAAGTAAGTACATCATGAAAGTTAACGTCAAAGACTCAAAGAAAGCAACGATCATGTGTGGTTGTAAGAGTCCTTTCTGTAAATCACTATAATACTCGCAGAAAAAACATTTATTTTCGACTCGTGCAAACCTGATGTAAGCCACGGCTCGACAGAGGAGTCTTTGTAGCTCATTTGGTAGAGCATCGGGATTCAAAAGCTGAACTAGCAACTTTTATGCTTCAAATCGTATCCGAGAACTTAGATTGTTTCTTTCTCGCTTGCGATAAAGTTTATCACCCTTCTCGAAGTCTTTCCTTGTAGCAACGAATGTTGCCCAGTTGTGCAAAGAACCTTTATAGTCAGGCGGATGTTTATTTCAGTTCACAATATTCCTGGTAACTTTCTCACGCATCACACCTATAAATGAAACTCAATGTTCTCATCGGAACTCATTACGAGATTTGACCGGAACATTTGATTTCCTTCCTGTTGCTTTCTGTATTGTATCAGCCAAGAAGTATCTTTGAATCTTTTGCGTTTTGCTAATTAAGCTCCATTTTAAGAGGCAGTGATGTTCGACCATGAATATGATGAATAAAATGTAACGGTTTACCGAGGAATAATTGAATAAAGTTAGTTTGCCAGCCAATGACAATAAGAGAAAGAGAAGGATATCTGATAGTTTATTTTTTTATAACAAGATATTTTTCTTTTCTTTACCCAATTTCATTTTCATTTTGCTGTTTTCAGGCTGCTTGTATCTGCTTACTGGACTAACTTCAATAAGTTTGCAAAATTAATTATCCTTCGACTCCCACGATTTGATCAGTAAACCTTCCTTCCAAGTCCTATACATTTCTTCTAAATGCGGTTTTAAGATAATCCTCTTGCCGACAATTTTATGTATTTTCAGCGCTTTTTTCTGAAAATGTTTTAAAATTGAGAGAAGTTACAACTCAATCACGTCTTCCATAACAAGAAAATTTAATCCAGATATTAGGCTAATACATCGCAAAATATCACCAAAGAGTGTAAAAGGTAGACTAGCGGAGTTAACTTCCTACATTGACGAGTTTTGCACACATTTTCAAAACTTGCTGTTTACCTTGTGAGAATTTTAAGATATTTCAAAAGTTTGCAGTTTTCTCCTTGTTCGTGAACGGAAAAAGTCACTCCATCAAGGCTCAATTTGTTTCTAGACGCATAAATTCAACGGTGTTTCTTTTGAAATCCCGAATAATTATATACCTCTCTTCATAAAATATCATATATTCTTTGCGTAAAGTACAAAAAGGCAAATTAACAGTCAGACACCTCACCGCACTATTTCTGATTTTACTTCCTTTCGACGACTATTATCTACCGGGTACAATAATTTACTTAGAAGAGCAGGAACTGCAAACCTTTCTAGATCAAGATAATTTGCTAGTTAGTTGTCTAGATAGTTAGTTATCCTATTTGTTATAGAATTAATCTTTTTATTATAATTATTTATTAATGTAGTTTGCTCGAAGATATTAGCACCCGAGTGCTACACTGTAAATTCGAGGGTAAATAAAGTTTATTGAGTGATTGATTGATTGATTGATTGAGAGCCATCAAAGACACCAATAAAAACTTCTTTCGCTGTTTCTTCTAATAGGCACAATTTTTGTGGCAAGAGATCTAAAGTTGAGGGTTTGGAAGAAAAACAAGCAATCCAGCCGTCTGTTATAAGAGGCCTGGAGGAACTTTGAACTTACTCGGATCTCTGCCATTAATTAAGAAATCCTATAATTTAAAGCGCTTCTAATCTTGCTCTACAAAATCTGTTATTGCACTTTGGACCGTTATTGGGATTTCTTAACCAGAAATGTTGTTTTAGGGCTTTTCATCCTTTGTCATTGGCCACCGCATATATTGGGGCGTTTTTACAACTGTTAGAGTATCGAACCTCCATACTGTTAGAATACAGAGGGCCTTCACAATCGTTACATGGATCCGGACCCTCTAAAACGTTATACACATGGTCTTTGGTAGTCGATTGAGAATAACTATCTCCTTCCTCTGTAAGACTTTGGCTGGACCTCTCAAGGACATTGTAAACGGGGTTATTTGTGGGTGGAGAGGCTTCATATTGATAGGGTCCCTCCAGGGTGTTGTAATATGGATCTCCAACGGGTACGGACCCATACCACGAAGCCCTATCTGCGTCTATTGCATCATTTTCATCCACTTCGTTGTACACTGGTTCCGATTGATTTGGAGCATCGCCAACAGGTTTTTGTATTTCTGTTACGTCTTCCACGGCGAAGTACAAAGGGTTGTCTGATGTCAAAGTTCCAGAATTTCCTGGCGGTAGGGCACCCGTCTTTTTATCATCGATAACAGTGGAATCTAACGAGGAAAATTTGCAAACACTACGTTATGATTTGGAGCTGAGGGTTGGTTCCAACTACTAGGTTGGACAATCTTTGACACAATAGCTTGTCACAATCGCCAAAGCTGCTAATTTACTTAATCAGTAGGGTTACCTAGGCCTACAGCAAATCACAACAGCTACATCAAAGAAAAAAAAGGATAAGTGTCCCACCGTTTGAGACGTAACGACTTCTTTCGTCCATCTGAAACGCTTGGTTTGTCTTTGAGTTGCACGAGGTGGTGTTCTGGCAAGATAAAGTGAGCATGTGTTACTGTTTGGCAAGCCAGGAAATACCTCCATTTAGGACTTATTCCAAAAATTATTTCGCACTAGTAATTTCCAGACACGAGCCATATAGTATTCCTTGAGTAAAGATACATGTTATAAACATGGAAACAGAGTCGCTGAATAATAATTATCTCAATGTGGGCAAAAATTTGATTGTTTCTGGACTTTCTTGTAATATCAAAAAACGGCATTACAACGAGGCCCCAGAGAATAGGTAATCAAGGTAAATAATACTAAAACAACATATTTCTCTGTTGTAGGTAATCGTTTGGTTTTTTTTTCCCGACCTGCTTGTGGACAAGGTTCCAAAGCATTCCAGCAAGGTTGTGATGACTGATCAACAAGGAAAAACAAAAAAAAATTTAGGATGCCTCCGGCTTTCCAAACCGCCCTCCTATACTTTTTAGGAACGATAAGGTTTCTATGGGGGATTCGGTCTTTTAGTCTAAGTTTCTCTCACTAAGGAATATAAAACTCATCATTTCTTCGTTATTGAGAGTGTCATTCATAATCAAACAAAGACTTTTTCACCTCATTGCCTGCTCGGCCATTGGTAATCGTGCTAGTACCGTTTCTGTGAACAAAATACAGTACATATTATTTACATCAATCACAGATTTAACGATTTGATGGAAAGTGGTAGTTTGTAAATCTACATTGCAAGTCTTAGCGAACGGAAAAGAATGATAAAAAATGCAGGGTTTATTAATAGACGAGGTGAATCACTTAACAGTTTTCAATAGATTTTGGACGACAAACATTCCAGGGGTTGAAACAAATGGCTTGGAATCAGTCGAGATGTCATAATGTCAAGTGATCATCAACGTATCTTGAGCTCTTTTTTTATATGTCAGAGTTTGACTCTTTGATTCATAAGAGTGATCAATAAACAAGTTCGCGTCAAAATGAATATTTTATAAACTGCCGAACTGAAATGTAGTGGAAATTTAAAATCATTGGGTTAATCAGTGTCATAGTATAATAACAGATGTTTAGAAATGCACAAAAATGATTGAGTGAGCGGATTAAACTTTTTAGATATTAAAGGTTAACAGACTGAAACATTTCGGCGGCAGAAACATCACGAATCGGGTGTTGTCTTGGCATCATACTATCTCACCGGTTAAAGGATAAAAAGCGTGTATGTCAAGCCAACAAAACGATCCTTCGTACTTTTTAGAAATACAACCACAATACAAGTTGTCAGGAATGTTCTGAATTAATCCAGTTTGTATAATCAACCTTAAATACTATCATTATACACGATTACACATAACCTGAGATGTAGACAAATTCTAACTTAGCAATCATTACCTGGGTTTGCGACGTCGATAGATGAATAAAGTAGCAATCAGCAATAATAAAATTATGACGGCAACAATCACCCCGGCAACGATGCCAACAGTTATGGAAGAAGAGTCAACATCGTCGCTTTTGCCTTTTTTGCCTGAGTTAGCTCGAGTGGATCTCTGCGAGAAAATGATTGGAAAGGATCATAAAGCGGCCAGCAAGAGGGAACAACACGAGGAGCGAAATGCTGGAAACCAACATTTTCCTTTCATCATTCCAAAGGTCACGAAGCTATTCTGACAGATTTAATTCAATTTTCAAACACTGCTCTACCGATTAAGAATGAAAGATTTACCAAGGTCACGAACGTATTGATCTAAACTTAGAACTAAGCAAAGACCAGAATATTTTAACTCTGACAATTTCCATGAATTGCCAAGCTAATGCAAACAATGAGAGAAGCTGAGCTAAGCACATTCCTCGCGACCACGTGCTTGTTTCAAAAATTTATTTGCCAACCTCAATTGCATCCTGATGAACCTAAACATTTTCCTTCAAGTGTGTATGATGAGATATTCATACCTGTGTTGGGTAAATCGTCTCTTCAGTGCCCTTCGTTATGGGCTTCTGTCGAGATAAACAATTGAAACAGATCAAATCTGCGAAATAAAGGCATTTCTAGCCATAGGAAACAAGTGAAGCTCTCGGCTGATCCTTGTCATTTAATCCTTCCAAATTGTTTGGAACACCATTTTGATCATACTTTCTATTCTGCTTTCAACTTGGTAATTTAGTATTACCAACTGAGTTGATTACGTAAATTGACCACCGTAGCTGATGTTTCAACCATTAGCCCATCATCAGAGCAAATGGGGAAGGGCTAACGCTCGAAAAGTCAGCTTCGAAACTCTTTACGGTGGCCAATTTACGTTATTAACTCAGCAACAGCCCAGCGCGATGCTCACTGCGTTTAGATCAGACGGACAGTTGAATCGCTTTTAAAATCTAGGATCTAATGGTGTAAAAGGTTTAATATGGTACCTATCTAAGGTAATCGTACCGTAGATGGAAGTGTATGCACCAAAGATGAAGTTGCAGGACTAAGTGTTGACCCCATTGAGTATTCTACGGGACCTGAAAATCAACAAGATTGATAAAGAATTATGTTCATTTACGTCTGTTCGCCAGACCCATTTGGACGACTGCTGCTAACCAGTTCATTGTAAAGAAGAGAATGTATGGCAAAGCCTTTGATGCATCCCAAACCAATTGAGAAAATGAAAGAATTTTAACTTCTAAAAAGTTGATACAAAGGGCTTGGCTCAATGGAAGCTGAATAAAATCATCCACCGGGTAAGTCGCTAGCCAGTGTGAAAGCGTTGAAGAAAACTAACAATTTTACCGAGCAGTCCGTCCGAAAGTTTTTTAATTTCGTGAACTGCAACCGTTATAAAAAAGGAATTCCTGAGCAAATTGAGCCAATCAAGTTAGCACAGTTAGGAAAAAGGTTCCTTTACGATGTCCATAAAAACTCTACCAAACATGAGCTTACAGGTGATATTTCCTTCCAGCTTGAAGAGTAGACAGCCTTCAAAAGGAGGCTGGAAGCAGCTTACTCCCAGATTTATTATTTTTCCCTGCAAAATGGCGATTGGGTCAACTACCTGTTGGTTAGAAAACAATGCAAAATCTATATTATATGTAACAGAGGAAATTGCTTAGGCTTATGAAGACAAGAACCCATCTGGTATTGAATACTTCGGTCTTTAAGTGGTCAATATCGAAAAATCTGATTAGCCTCCCATAATAATCTATAACATAAATCGGGAAATCCTGAGCTATTCACGGTTCATGGTTGTTACAAATCTAAGAATCCAGTCAATCCTTCTTTTCATGAGCAATAACCCAAGCAAACAGAGTCGATGTGGATATTTGTATGGAGACTCAATAGACTACAAACAGTGGCATGTTTGATTCAAATTATACAGTTGTGTTAATTAGTCATATTACCAGCTAAAGCTAAAATTACCGAGTGACTTTGCGAATTTTTAAAAGGAGTGTGTTACACTTAAGTAACACTGCACCCGGGATCTTGGAGCAATAATCGTTTTTTTTTTTTTTTAAAGTTGCGTCATCAGCGCTTTCCCTTCGGCAAATCGTCGGGAAAGGGTCATGTGCACGTTAATAGACCACTTGTGAACACCCTCGACTTAAATGATTTCAAGAAAAAGAACAAGAATCAACTCTTTCTTAAATGGAAACTTTGTCGGGATCAGAAGTGTCAATCTTTAAGAAGAAAAATTAAAAAGAAAAAAAATAGCCTGATACCTCAAAGGGCTTTCAGAGGTTGACTTTAAAACTTTACTCACCTTTATATAGTATGCTCCACTCTTGTTACTCCATCCAAAGACAAAGATTTCCTTTGTTCTATTAGTAAGTTTGTCAACTGGAGTCTTTTCCCCACGACAACCAATGACCCAGGAAGACCTAGTGTTTAAAACACAGGAGGCATTCTTCTTGTAGAATGCTGTTTTCCTTCCCCAGCTCGGCTGAGTACCTAGAGAGTATAATTCATGCCACTCTCTCTCGTAATGAAATAAGGTGTTGTTCGTACATCCTGTTCATAGAAGTAAAGCGGGAGAAATTTACGTTAACTCCACGTTTATGCAATTCGTTGGGAATGGAATGTGTTCCGTTTAAGTGCAAGGGATAGCTAAACAGAAAACAAATCAACAACGCTCAACTACAAACCCATATATCAACGGTATGAGGGACGGGAAAAGAGATAAAGTCATGAAAAAATGATAAATATCAGTAAGGATAACAAATGATTATAATGAGAGATATTTGGCATACAATATGAAGAATTTAAATTAATTCAAATATTGAGAGAGAAAAGGTTAAAAGAGCTATTCATAACGGCTTGTGCATCTCAAACTTAACCCGATTTGGTTAAGTTCGTCATTCTTAATCCTATATTTCCTCCGTTTTTCCTTTCAGTGCGGTGTTATTTCTTTTCTGTTTTAATACCCTGGCAAACCACTATTCTTTGTCTTTCATGAGTATTCATGGGAAGTTTTCTAGTCTGTAAAACGATGAAACAAACCGTGACGTAAACTTCATTAAAATTCAGTACTTAAAGATAAATCCAAGCTTCTCTTAAAGAAAGAATTCTTAGGGGTCTAGGTCACATCCTTTTCAGTTTCAAGCGAGGTTGACGATCTGTTTTCTATCCTTAAGGAAATATTATCAGTTTCCAAGGCTGCTCGATGTAGTTGTGTTCGCTTTATCTTTAACTTAAAAAGAAAATACAATTGCTCGAAAAAAGGAAACAGAATGTAAGATTGGCGGACGGAGAGTTGCGTGAACCGCTTATACAGCTACGGCTTAGCTGACAGCTACATGAGTCGTCATCCGTGACAGATTACCTTCGTTTTGTTTGTTTTTACTCGAAATTAATAATAAAAACTTCACTAGCTTATAATTGCAACTCGATTGTTACAATGTGGAAATCAGTTCCATCGAATGACGCCTTTGCCAACGTTGGTATCGTAGATAATCTCTTTTACGTTGTTATTGCTAGATACGGAGCTAAAAATTGTATTAATGATTCAACTTCCGTTGCCTGTCACGTGAACTCATTTTTAAACATTTCTAAGTACTTGAAGCCTCTGAAAAAGATAATGCTCAATCCGAAAAGTTTCTTACAACGGAAACTGGAATCTAGAGCATCACTTCAATGACGGTCTCGTAAAAAGTTAAATTGAGAGGAATAAGTAACTAAAAGGTGTATTTGCCTGCTACCTGTGTTTCCGCTGTCAATCGGGTTGCGAAATATCTATTCTCACACCCAATATTTATCATACTCACCGAGTTTATTTCGCACTATCTTATTCTCCAGACACATCCACGTGTTATTTACATACGTAACCGTAGCATATTTT